TGTTGAACCCATTGAACCTTCCAGATAAGTTTGCAGATTTGGATTTTAGAGTGTTGAGGGGAAAGCCGCAGGTAAACTAAATAAAGAAGTTTATACGTTAAATATAAGAAAAATTATTTTATTTATTATTAATTAATTTTAAATTGTATGTAAAGTTTATATTAAAATCAACATACACAATTATCATGGGAAAATTCATTGTTAACTCATTTATCGGGATTCAAAATTGATAGTAAGTTTGCATGCAAGAGGGACACAATTATTCTTATAAACTATAAGAAAAATTATTTTATTTATTATTAATTAATTTTAAATTATATATAAATTTTATATTAAAATTAACATACACAATTATCATGGGAAATTTCATTGTTAACTCATTTATCAGGATTGAAAATTGATATTAAGTTTCTTTTTTTTGAATAATGTTGTTATGGGATGGGTTAGAACCCGTCCAAAGGAAAAAGGTGACACACTTCAAGGTGGTTAAAAGTTACTTATCTCGAAGGGTCAAGTATGAAATTGATATTAAATTTATATGCAAGAGAGATACAATTATTATAAAAAGCTTATTGTTAACTTATCTAATAAAATAAGAGAAGACTTGAAATTGATATAAAGTCTATAGGCAAAGGAGATATACTAGTTAATTTAGTTAATTTTAAATTAAAGTAAATTTTGTATTAATACCCACCACCAATTTCCACACAGATGCTAGTGGAAAAACAGGAATCTTCATGGACGGAATACCGGCAAATGTGGCGGCTTTTGAGGGTAAGAAAAAACCAATCATTCGGTTCCAAATCCAATCGTGGAAAATTCCAACGGCGTAGATCTATACCGGGAAGCGGCGGTTTCCTTACAGGGCGGGCTCTCGCCCTCATTTATGTCAATTCCCAAGTGGAGTTTCATGGAGAGATTGACCTAAACCTCAATATACGCCTGCTATTTGTGCGATTTGATTGAAGGTTTTTTAAATCCTTGAGCAGAGATCATATTTGGAGTTTGCATCAAATCTTGAATTGAAGGCATTTTCTGCAAAAAAATGATTTTCTCAGTCAAATGCGTATTTCAGCTCAATCCTCGACAGAAGGGCAAATTGGTCTATACAATAAATTTTTATTTTTTTTATTTTTTTGGCATTAACGAAGCCGTTCGTGGCAACGATAGCTCCTACGGCGAGGCCTGTGGACTTTGGAATCACAACGTGTTTCTTAAAAAATCTCTGAATACGAATGTGTCACTTATTTTGCTGAAAGTAAAAAAGAAGGATTTTTCCAATGACTCTCTCATTTCTCACTGTCGACCTCTTTGCAGATGGCCGAAAGAACATTAAATTAAAATGAAATTTGCACCTTCAAACGATTTATAAGAGGGAGAGATACCTTTTTGCAGAATGGGTTACGAAATCTGCCTTGGACAACTCTAAGGACTTAAACATTACCGTGACTTAAAATTAACAAATCTTAATTGAACTAAATAACCTGCAATATAAAGTAAATTTGCGAGAAAAAGCTGTACTTGAATTAAATTAAATGTGTTCATTGTTAAATTAAAATGCTATGTACTGGCAGATCTGGAAATTAAATTGCTGTAGAATTAAAGACTTCATCCTAATTAACATTAAAATTAACGTGAACTGTAATTAAGTTACCATACTTGAGGTTGAAAAGAGGTATGAACACCGCATAAATAATCATTGAATAAAATACTACTTAACATAAATATTAAATTAATTGCAAATGGAAAAAGAACAATACCTTGCATAAACTTGAAAGATTAAAATTTATTGCATGAAAGGAAATTGTTGAACTGAATACATGAATTAATTTACCTACTGGAATGATGAAAAACAACCTAATTCTATTGGAATATGTACTGAAATTCGAAATCTGGAAACAGATTGCAGAGAAAATAAAGTTTGAAAATTTGCAAATGTTTTAGTAGGGTTGGCCGTTTGTTCTTCCTTCCAAAATTTCCTTTTTGTTCTCCTTGTGCCGACAATAACTTTCACTTTCTGCAGTTACTCAATCATTGGTGGTTTCTTGAGATAATGGGACAACTCACCCTTTGACCTAGTCTAATCTCCTTGCAGATTTCGCTACCTGTACTCTTATTAGATAAAACCCCCATTTTTAACTGTAATATTCTCCTATTTTTTAGCTCCCATTATCCCTTTCTATCTTAAGAATATAATTACTGCATAAAAAATTATCTTTACCTCTCCTCTTTGGCCAACACAAGTGTTGATCCGTCATGGGGCTCAAAATTCAAATCTAACATGACTCAATCTCCTCCAACCAATAAAAAATATTTTACTCATGGCATTAATTTAAATTTTGTAATTTATGGTGTAAATACAACGAAATCATTATGAGACTGTGGCCGAATTTTTAATAAAAGTATTATTTAAGAGAATTTATTATAGAGGTTTTGATTTTAAAAGTTAAAATTGTTTAGTAAAATTTTTTATACAAATATTTCTAAAAAA